AAAGAAAGCGTGTTTGTGTCGAAAAATAACTATAACGAATTCACATTCGTTATGGTTGTTTTTCGACCAAATCCTCCTTAAACGACCGTGCATTCGTCGTATAATACATTATAAAGATATCAAACTCGTTATAGGTCCAATTTTGGTCATTTTTAAGTTAAAATAACGAATTTACAAAGATATTACATGATCATTCCATTTTTCAAAAACAAAAAACAAACCAAGTATTGTTATTTCAAAAAAAGAGTTTCTTTATGAGTGTTTCGACGCTCTAACACGTTCAAACTATCGTTCCGATGACATGTAACATGAATAAACAATCATTATCAAGTAATTCGATCGAAAAAACCATAAAGAAAACGTGTTTGTGTCGAAAACCAATTATAACGAATGTACATTTGTTATAACGAATGCACATTCGTTATGGTTGTTTTCCGACCAAATCCCCCTTAAACGACCGTGCATTCATCATATAATACTCTATAAAGATATTAAACTCATTATAGGTCTAATTGTAGTCATTTTAAGTTAAAATAATGAATTTACAAAGATATTACATGATCGTTCAATTTTTCAAAAACAAAAAAAAAAACAAGTATTGTTATTTAAAAAAAAAAAAGATTTCTTTATGAGTGTTTCGACGCTCTAACACCTTCAAACTATCGTCACGATAACATGTAACATGAATATACAATTGTTTTCAAGTAATTCGATCAAAAAACCATAAAGAAAGCGCGTTTGTTGAGAAAAACAACCATAACGAATGTATAGTCGTTATGATTGTTTTTTGACAAAATCCACCTTAAACGACCGTATATTCGTCATATAATCCATTATAAAGATTTAAACTCGTTATAGGTCTAACTTTATTCATTTTTTCATGTAAAATAAAGCTGATAATGCTTTTTTTTTTTTTGTTCTTCTTCTCCATCACTACATTTTTTTTGCAATATGGACTCCAAAGTTTATGTCTAATTATAAGATTTTGTTCTTACCTTATTCAACAGAGGAGAAATGGACGACAGAGACGAGCACTGGGAGAGAGATCGACGACTTGTTCTTTTTGGAATGATTTTTTTTTTATTATTACAAAGTTGGTAACACAAAATACAAGAAGGGTAGTATAGTCGTTTAATATCTAAGATTATTTTAGGTATTTAAATTATTTATTTACTTTTATTTAATGGAAGAGTTACTTACACAATTTTATTTTTCAAAGGGTCATTTAAATGATATGGGGTGTTGACCATTCCCTTTAAATAAACCACCCAAATAAGTCTCTAGTGTTTATCTAATTGTCAAAACAAACTCCCCAAATCAATTTTGATGTTATGAAACAATAACCCTCTCAGCCTTCCATATGAATTCTCGAGCACAGTATGAATTTCTCAGCAAATACTTGTTCCATGTTCTGACTCAACAACTCAATATCGTCCGGCGGCGACGACAACGGCGGACTTGAGGTCCTGTTACATTTCCCGTCCGACGACGCGTATTCATTCCCAGATGCCAATGAATTTTGGGGATTATTTCGTCGGCTCAATTTCCGACTTGCACGGGGCCGCCTATGTGGAGAAGACGAGGCGTAGGTGGTGGCGGGAGTGTGGAAGCTGAAGTTCAGCGGTGGTGATGTTGAAGATGAAGTTTAGCCGGGGAGGGGATCTCATCTTGTGTGTTGAGTGCGTTTGTGACTCTGTGTGTGGGCTAGTGTGTGTTTTGTGTGGGATTGTATTTAATTACCTTTAATGTGTGGGGTCCACAATATGAGATGAGATGTAATTATTTGTAATGACTAAATTATCTTAATGAATTTGACTTAAATTACTAATCATTCACTTCATCATGATCATGATAAATCTAATAATCTACAATTATTCTTATTTCTTTCACTATCTTTCTTTCTCATATGATTTATATATATATATATATATATATATAAAAAGAAACGCTCCAGCCTCCATATATAATGAAATTGCACAACATTTTTTATTTATAAATTAAGAAATACATCAAAAGTCCGAATAATAATAACTTAATAATCTCTAAATTCACCCATATTAAGTAACTCGACGGGCATAAGTACTCGTGATGAGGTAGATAATATTAATAATAATAATTAAAAATAAAGTCTTAAATATATAAATGATTAACATCCGCAATGGCAGGAAGTCTTTTTATTTCTGTGGGGTTTGCATATGCCTCCTTTCTTGCAATTACTCGCCTTGCACGTGTTTGCACACCTATCATCGCCACACTTACCATCGTTAAAGTAATTCTCCTTATTACAACATACGAATTTCTCCTTCTCCTCAACACTACAACTAATCAAACCTGCAAAAACATTACAAAATAAATAGAAAAAAACAAAAACATTAATTAATTAGTTAAGTCATATATATATATATATATATACATTTAATATTATATATATGTAGTAAGTAATTTAAAAGCACCCAAAAAACATATATAAAGCATTATATGTATATTCTTAAAGAGTAATTAAGTAGAACATATATAAAACCTGCTGATACAATGAGAAGGACAATAAACACGGCGGGAAAGAATTTAGCACTAGCCATTATATATACTTTTATGTGTATGTTTATAATGTTTTTGATGTTTATGTGATCACGAGAGAATATATAAGAGAGCTTATATATATATATAGCATAAGTTTAGTTACGTGATCAATAAGTGTGGCTATGTGATTGATGATACTATTTCTATTCAACATTTCTGTATACATTAATGGATTATCTTAGATTTTCTTACCAATTAATGCCGCAGGGATTATTATGTGAATACGTACTTTGGTTATCTTTGATTTTCTTATTAGCCGTTAATACCGCAGAGATTATGTGACTAGGTTTGGTATTTGATTGAATACTTTTTTTTTTTCAAAGCTGTTTATTTTACAATTAATATTATCTTCTTATTTTTATTACATTAAGCGATTTTTGAAGTACCTAAAATGATTTTAATCCCTTGAAATTACCGAAATAGTTGCCATAATAATAGTAACAATTTAATACTTTTTAACTAATTAATTGATCATAATCCATTAAATTTGTAAAAAAAAAATATTATTCATTACATTCTGTGGAATCTATATTTTTTAAAACATCCATCTCTATCTTCATTAATGAGGGTTATAATTGACAAAAAAATTATTTTTAATTAGTGTGCAACTTCTCAAAACGACACTTATTATGAATAGGAGGGAGTATTAAACTTGTATGTATTATTAATTAACTTCTAATTTATGTGATGGACTATGGATTACAGTTGAACAAAAATTCTATGGAGCCATCGGATGGTTTTCTTATGGAGTCATCCACCACTTAATGTATTGACACCTGTCTAAAGTATATTTATTACAGGACACGTGTCAATACACTATTGGTGAATAAGTGTGGATGGCTCCATAAGCCGAGCCATCCGATGGCTCCATAGCAAAACTGTACAATTGAATTCAGTAAAACGTTTGCTTGCCATGAGCCTTTAAAACTAAACAAACTCGAACCAAATTCGCCTAAACCGAGCATGTTCGCAAAATGTTCACCTCATTTGCACCCCATATTGCGCGACTGANTATATGAAAATATTCAATAAATTGGGAATCTAAAAATCACTCTCGCCACTTTTAATGTTATACAATATAATCTTACATATAATCATTAAAAATAGAGGATTTTCTTGTACCAAAAAAATAAATAAATAAATAAATAAATAAAGGATTTTCGGCAAAGGCTTTATTTTATCATAACCCCGTGATAATAAACAAGTCTCATCTTTGTGTTGACTGGTTTACTAGTTAAATTGATCAAATTTATATATTGTTTTTTGTTCATGTTAAATGCATAATTATGTATTCATTCTGCAATTACTAGAGTACAGCTTAAAAAATAAAATTAAACAAAGATGAAACAAAATAGATTATACAATATCTTGTATTTCCACATAATATATTAAATTTCCTTTGTTTTTAATTTTCAATTAGTTTTATTTATCAAATAAAGGTAGTTTTTTGCAGCAAGGATTAATGAACTAAATTAAATATAAAAATCATTTGAAACTCGAAGATGAGAAACTAAAATAAAAAATTATTAACGGAAACGAAAAATTGAAGAATCGAATTTTGCCTCTACAAGCATGATTGACATAAGACGAGCATCTCTAATGCCTCAATCGTCAATATTAAAATTTTTACCACATGTCAGTAAACAATTGGACAGTTAATTCATAAGAAAGCATTGTCCATCGTCAACATTAAAATTTTTACCACATGTCAGTAAACAATTGGACTGGTAATTCATAAGCAAACATTGTCCACGGATGAAATAATAATTGTGAATTATCATCTCCAATGCACACTTTCATTCATGCACAGTCCATATATTTATTTTAAAATATAAAAAATAAAATATTGAAATTTTAATTACGATTACGTGTTTAGAATTAAAAAAAAAAATTGACTTTTATCTCCACGAAATAAAATAAATAATAAAGTAGTTTAGTTTTTTTAAGTGTAAAAAAATATTAAATTTTTTTATAATAAAATATAATCAAATAAATAATAAAAGTGAGAAAATGTGTGTAACACCTCATTTTGAGAAAAAAATATTAAAAAATATAATTAAAACACAATTAATTATTTCGAATCAAAAAAATTAGGTTTTATCTCCACGAAATAAAATAAATAATAAGTAGTATAGCTTTTGAAATGTTCAAACTGTAGTTACTAAAAAAAAATATTAAACTATTTTATAATAAAAGCAAATAAATAATAAAATTGAGAAAATGTGTGTAACACCTAAAATGGAGAAAAAAATATTAAAATTTTAATTACAGGCATTAATTGTTGTTTTGAATTAAAAGAAATTGGATTTTATCTCCACGAAATAAAATAAACAATAAAGTAGTTTAATTTTTTAAAATGTCAAAGGTGTAATTACTAAAACAAATAATAAAAATAAAATTTTAATTGCAACGTATAGATTAATTATTTCAAATTTAAAAAGATGATTTTCATCTAAAAAATAAAATAAATAATATTGGTGGCTTTTTCTCATTTTTTAGTTGTTTGGCTGGATGATGTGTCCTGTTGAACCATGTTATCGCCATGTCAGCATAACATGGCCTACAAAATAACACATTATATAAAGACAAATGTCTGCATGTATCTAATTTATACCTGTCAACAGTTCCCCATTGAGATGCTCTTAGCTAAGAAAACTTATGGACTCTTAACTTAATGGGTTTTTCAAACAAATCATATTTCCCTCACCAACTTAACCACCTATGCATCTAAAACGCTACAAACAGCCTGCGAAACAAGGGTAGCCACGTTTTCATCTCCGCTGGCAATAGACGTTTTTGCCCCCGTGACTTCGACAACAGCTTTGCCAGGCTCGGTCACCGTTATAAGGGAACCCGTGTGGGCCCCACCCGCACCCACAACTCTCTCCACCACCGGATTCATACCCAATTTTCCAAGAGCCGTCAAAAGGGCATTCAACTTCACTCCTCCAAAACACAATGCCTCTAACTTTGGCCTTGACGCGACTTGCTCGTTTCCAGCGAGTAACCTGTATTTCCCTTGCTCCACCAAAAGCTCTCCCTTCAGTTTAGCAATGTCCACGTCTTGTCGTTTTAGTGTCGTGTATTTGAGCTGGCAGGCCAACTCTATAGAGATGTCGAATTCCGAGTACTCCTTTGTGTACGGGATTTGCAGCGTCTCGTTTTCATGGTAGTAGCTGACAGAAAATGAAGTTTCCAGAGAACTCATGTGCTGCTTGAGGATATTGGGAAACTGGTCCAAGCCAGAAAAAACACACCAGGCACTAATTAATTAATTAAGCCAGTAAAGGAATGAATTGTATTTATTTAACACCAGAAAGGAGGAGGAGTTACGAAATGGATATCTTTACCAGAACATGCTTGGGTTGTAATATCTTCAGTAGATGGCGAGACTTGTGCAGCCTGACAACAACAATATGGAAGGATTTAGATGCATCGAATAAATATAACTTCATTTAACATGCATAATGACAAAGGTCAAGCTGCCCCCAATCACAAAAACAGGCTACTATTAAGCTGCATCAACTATAATAGCACATCCTTTTCAGGTTATTTCACTTTCTATCA